GTAGTGGTTTCAGATGGTGGCAAATTTGGCCTCGTGACGACCGCTTTGTAGCGGGCCCGTGCCCGGGCGACCAGGCTGTCCTTATTTGCAGAGAGTTTGTTATCGGACTGTCTAAAAGGCAACAAACATTCCAGCTTTCCAGAGTTAACATTTTCCTTCTAGTAGTCGGTGGGATGGCAGGGGGGATAGTAAAGACTGTTTTTTGTTGTTGTAGTTTTTCGGTCACAATTTTTTTGCATTCACAAACCACGGTCAGCTTGCTTACGCGTGTTTTTGCAGCAATTTTTAGGGTACCTTCTCCAGCCCCCTCTCCCACAAGGGAACAAACAGTGCTACCACTGGGCAGAGCTGTTTAATCATCCCAGGCGGGTGCAGAATTCCGCTAGGGGCTCACGACTTTTGTTTAGTCGGGAGGCGGCCCGGGTTAGTCTGGACCTCCTACGCGACTGCATGACGTCCTCTTAACGAACGTGGGGAGGGAGTTTGGTACTGCTGGACACTCTCAGTTGGCTTAACTCTCTGGCTACGGACCGGTTACTGAGGTGTGGCCACCGTGCTGAGAGCAGATCCGTGAAGCCACAGATGAGAGCTGGGTGCTGGGACCGGAGAAAGCGGAAGTACCCGCCAGATCTATTGATGCGTTCGACAAGGACTGTCAATGAACTGCTTATAGGTACTTGTTACCATCCTAGTCGTGCCTACACTAGCTGGCCCAGTTGGTAAGTATCGGCAGCATATGTGCAACGTTCGTCTAAACTCACTGATAGGCCTTGTGTAACCGTAGAACTACAACTTGGGTCCCCGTCCACGGCACTCGTACAGACCGATCATCAAGGTACTGGGAGGCGAACAGCTAAAGATATAATCGCGCACCGAAGCCACATATTGTTCTTGTAGGCAAGGCTAATGTCGCACGCACACCAAGCAGGCACGAGTGCGCGCGTCAGTCGTTGTGAGGAAAAAATGCTGCCTCCGGAGAGAATTGAACTCTCGACCCCTGGTTTACTAGACCAGTGCTCTAACCACTGAGCTACGGAGGCACGCCTGCGCAGCGGATAAGTGCGTATAATTGCGCGTGAACTACCCGGCGTAGTTCAGCTGTCGTGTGTAACGAGGCACCACTGCGCCACGCAGTGTGCGTAACACCGGTGGCTTACCTGTGCATTTGTTTTAAGTGTGGCAAACTCGAGCGGCGCCTGTCCCACTTCGTCCTTCCAACAACCGCTTTCTTTCGAGGACAAGACGATATCAAGACGAGCTGAAATGGGTGTGTGTGTGGACGTATTGGTTGAAAGAGTTCAACAGTCCGTCTACGCTTGCAACGCACGACCTAATCCCCAATTTCGCGCTTGCTGGGATTCTTTCTGGGGTGGATCGACTTGGACTTCACGCGAGCGAGACAGTTCCGTACAAGTGGTATTGCGAGGAAACCACTGCAGCCTTTCTCTTAGTCCTGAATAATACTGGGTTATCTCCTCAGCTGGTAACCTTCCAGGCTACGATTTTTTAATTAGCGATGCTCATCGATGCCTTTGGTGGGGACCGCCAGTGTGGTTCTTGCGTGTACTTGCTATGATCGTGGTCGTGTTTGGGCTGATGGATCAAAATATTGCCGCCTGCTTCATGTCTGACAGTTCGCAGTAGCGT